CCTGGCTCTCAGCTGCCTGCCCCTCTCCCTTTCTGCATATGTGGTACGCCTCCACCCTTGTTCTCCAGAGGGAATGGGCCAGAGGCAGGAGCTGCGGCTGCTGAGAGCACAGCTTACCTGCAGACCTCAGGGCCAGCTTCCCAGGTCTTCCTGCCAGCCGGACCCAGGCGGCACCTTCCGGAGTCCCCGTGAATGGGGGAGGCCTGGTTCTGTTGGCAGGCGAAAATTCAGCCTGTGGCCTGCAGGCACACCATGCCTGTGGCTCGGTCCCAGCAAGGGTCTGCTGTTAGAGAGCATGTCACAGGTAGTAGAGTGTGGATGGTCCCAGGAGCTGGCCTGGCAGGGAAGAGCGTGCCTCGCCCAGTGACCTGATGCTCACGAAGGAGAGCTGATTCCTGGAGTTGCCCTCTGACCTCCGCATGTATGGCGTGACACTTGTGCGCGCACACGCGCACACACACAGAGCACTGTCTGAAAACAAGTTGGCAGTTGTCTGTGAGCAGTGAGAGGGGCTGGGGCTGCGGCTCAGGGATGGAGCGCCTGCCCGGAACTCGCAGAGCTCTTGGTCCAGTCTTCCCGTGAATGAAAATGAAAAAGTGAGGAGAAGGTGAGTCAGGGAAGGCTGCTGCAGCCGGGTGTGGTGACCGGAAGCAGAGCAAGCGGGCTGGGTTGTTCTTCAGGAGCCCGAGCTGGTGGGAACCAGGAGCTCCGTGCCTGGGAACGCTTGGTGCTCAGGGAGCTCCGGTATGTCCTGCTGCCGCTGTGACCCCCGGAAGAACAGCCCGGGACATTCCAGACACGCCCCCCACACCCCAGCCAGCGCTGGGCCACCTAGGCACCAGCCCCGGGGTTTTCACGAGGTCACTGTCAGTGTGGCCCCGACGGAAGCTCTCAAAGCAAGAGGGAGCTGAGAGCCGGTGGGAGCCGGAGGGACAGCCCATGCCTTATATCCCAGCACTCGGGAGACTGATCTGAGCTCTGTGAGTTCAAGGCCAGCCTGGTCTACAGAGCTAGTTCCAGGACAGCCAGGGCTATACAGAGAGACCCTGTCTTGACAAAAACAAAAGCAAAAAAACCCTCCAGAAGGCCTAGAGCTGCGGTTCGGTTCTCAACCTGTGGGTTGAGACCCCTTGGTTTCAACTGGCGCTTTCACAGGGTCACCTACGACGATCAGAAAACACAGACATTTTCACTGTGATTCATAACAGAAGCAAAATTACAGTTACAAAATAGCAACAAAATACTTTCCTGGTTGGGGTCACCACGCTGTAACAAACTATATATTTAACTTGGCAAAACAATTTCACTGGGGCCTACCAGGTGTGAGGGCCACGGCATCACCCCAGCACTTGGGAGGCTGAAGCAGAATTGCCAGGGGCGGAGGACAGTTCTGCGTGCACACTTCCAGGCAGGCCAGCCTGCTGAGTGCTTCTGAATTTATGTATAGTGGGCCAGGCATGGTGGTGCACACCTTTGATCCCAGCACTCAGGAGGCAGAGGCAGGAGGCTCTTGGTGAGTTCAAGGCCAGGTCTTATACAGTGAGTTCCAGGACAGCCTGTGCTAGGTATAAAAACAAAAACAATAACAAGAAAGGCTACTAAGTACAGTCTGAGCTTCATGAGACCTTGTCTCAAAAAAGAAAGATGCTAACAGTTAGGTTACTTATAATACTAGGGCAGGAGAGATGGTTCAATGCTTAAGAGCAGAAGCTGCTCTTGGGAGGACCAGGGTTCAATTCCCAGCACCCACACGGTGGCTCACAACCATCTGCAGTGAGATCTGGTGCCCTCTTCTGGTGAGCAGGTGTACATGCAGGAAGGATAGTGTATAAATAATTAAATCTTAAAAACAGAAAAACCCTCATGTAGACATACATGCGAGCAAAACACCAATGTGAATAAATAAATCATTAAAAACATCAACTAATTGAAATGTTTAATAATATAATAACGTTTAATGAGGCTGGGAGGGCCTGGTCCTGGCAGCACACAGCTAGAATCCCAGCAGAGGCAGGCGGATCTCTGCGCTCCAGGCCCCTGCTGTAGAGCGAGTTCCAGAACAGCCAGGGCTACATAGAGAAACAGCCAGGGCTACAGTGGTGCAGTAGGGCTCTGTATAAACAGGTTTGGCCGGCCGAGAACCAGCAGACCAGCGGTGCCTTGAGCCTAGCCTTGCCCATGGACCATCCTCATGTCCTGAGCCAGGCCTGTGAGCGCGCTGTCTCTCTCCCATGCGCGCTCCGGCGCACCCGGCACATGCGCATGCGCCAGCAGGGGCCGGTCCGGCACATTCGTTTTCCAGTGCTTTCTTAGCCATAAATGTGGGGAGCCCAAACATCCATTTTCTTCCTTAACATTTTTACACACAGTGTTAGCACTGTTGAATAATCTGGTGTTAAAAAACAATGTTGATTTAATTCATATTCTGCAAGAGCAAAAGGGCCTGATTGCAACTTTCAGATTTTGTTGTCTTTAAAAGCCCAGGACCCCCTCAAGCACCAAACCGGGAGGCCCAGCCAGACCTGGACGCTCACTGGACTGTGAGGTCAGCTGCGGCTAAGCCCCCTTGACCTGGCTTGAGGAAGACAACGTTAGCTTTGAGGACAGCCGAAACAGCGCCCAGGCCTTTTTACCTGAGCGGGCAAAAGCCTAGCCGAGAGCTGGAGAGATGGCCCAGTGGTTGGCAGTCAGTCTGGCTGTTCAGTTACCAGTTTACAATCACCTTTAATCCCAGCTCCAGGTGGACACACACACACACAGCCACACGAGTACAAATAAAATGAAAAATTCAAGCGCCTTTCCAGAGGCCGGGAGAGGCCCAGACCACTTGGCACCCAGCAGGGATCTCCTCCAAAGGCTCTTCCCAGCTTTCACTGAGCTGGCTCCTGCAGCCCGAGCACTGTCTGCAGGGGCCGGGGGAGGGCCTGGGCTGAACATCCGACCTGGCTTTCCTTTCCCTTGTCTGATCGGTCTCAAGCACCCCTGCCCTCCAGCCGAGACTGGATGAAAAGATGCTGAGGCTAGCCCACTTGAGGAGGACTGGCCTGTGCGGGGCTAGCCCACCCGAGGAGGACCGGCCTCTGCTGCCACTCATTCCACCTGCTTCACTTGGAGGCTCGGGCTCGGCAGCCACATGCTTGAACTCCGTGACGTGCCCACTGTGGCCCACTCGGTGGGTGACCAGAGATGCAGGCAGAGTCGAAACCCAGGAGGAGACACGGTCAAGGCAGGAGCGTGACACCAGTAGCAGCACCAGGAGCCCGCTGGTTCAAGCAGAGCCTCCGGGGTCTGTAACCGGTAGACAACACTGCACCCCTCGAGCCCCCGTGCCCACCAGCCCCGGCACCTCAACTTCATGAGGGAAAGAAGCTCCTCTCATGTACTGCTGAGCTCAGTGGTTGTCGAACTTCATTAAGCTACACACAATCCAATGTTAGAACATTTTTAGTTTTTCAGTAAGAGGCCACGTGTAAATGCTTTTTTCCCCCCCAAAAAAAATGACTTGGAGCAGGTTACGTAAAAGATGCGTGCGTTCACGTTGCAGCAGGAGAGCAACAGGAATGAGAGAGTGAAGACCAGAGGGCACACATCTGCCGGCCTGGTCAACCTTGGTGAAAGAATGGTTCCATTGACCGGTCATTAGAGAGCAAATAGTGTCACTGGTTCAAAAGTGACAGGGAACATTTAAAAAAGCCAGCGAGCCAGTGCACACACCTTTAATCCCAGCACTCTGGAGGCAGAGGCAGGCGGGTCTCTGGGACTTTGAGCCTATCGAAAAGTCAAAAAAGCTAGGTGTGGTAGTCCAAAGCTGTAATCCAGTACTCGGTTGGTGAAGGCCTGAGGATCGGGACTTCAAGGCCAGCCTCAGCAATATGATGAGCTTGAAGCCAGCCTGGGCTACATAAGACTTTACCTTGAAAAGCAAACATTGAAATCCAATGTTTTTTTTTTTTTTTCTAGGATTTATTTATTTATTACATAGACAGTGTTCTGCGTGCACGCCAGAAGAGGGCAGCAGATCTCATTATAGATGACTGTGAGCCACCATGTGGTTGCTGGGAATTGAAGTCAGGAACTCTGGAAGAGCAGCCAGTGCTCTTAACCTCTGAGCCATCTCTCCAGCCCAGAAATCCAAACTCCTGCTATTTTTCAACAAGTCCTCAATAGCCTGAAACTCTGTGGAATGCTGGCCTCCACTTGAAAAGACCCATCTGCCTCCTGAGCGCTGGGTTAAACCCACACCCGGCCCAAGACTCTTCCATGTTTTGTAGCTAGGGAATAGCTTTATTTCCTTAGGATTGGAAAACCTTGTGCAGGGCTGGAGAGATGGCTCAGAGGTTAAGAGCACTGTCTGTTCTTCCAGAGGTCATGAGTTCAA